ATAGATGTGGCAGAGAGGGAATAACTGCCTGTTTCTGGCAACTTTCCTTGTTTGTCACAAACGAAAGCAAGAAACCTCCAATTACTTTTTAAACAGTGGAGAGGAGGCACGGAAAACCCTGCTAGCTGGGAACATCAGTACTTCATGACAACTAAGAAAGCAAGCTAGTACTACAACGAGAGACCCCCAGAGAGCAACCCTATGGAGACTAGCAGTCTGGTAAGAACACGGTGAGGAACAACCAGTAGAAAAAGCAGGAAAAATTGCCATCATGAAAGCTAATCATGATTTCCAAAGTACAATTCAGACGAGGTAGTTTTTAGAGGACTTGAACGCAGAGAAAGACAAAAGGCTTGAGGCAACATTTGCTTAAATGAAGTGCCAGTACTTCTTTGTCCATCTCCTCTTTGGTATTCACTGGTCAACCATAAACACTCTGCACCAAAACGTAGCTGAGGGTAAACACAGTTTACCCACCACTAATTTGAGCTCTGTATCAGTTACCCATTTACTACTACTCAGCTTGTACCACTTAGTAAACAGATTTACCTCCTTTCCTACAGCATAGCCAGAGATAATTATGCAAGTGCCACTATAAAAGCAGAACAGTTCAACATTACACAGGCTGGTGCTAATTGCTTCTACAACTTCCAACTCCTACCCCACATTAGGCCCACAACTAGGAAGGACGCTAGCAAATTGGAAAGGCAAAAACAGTACTACGGATCAGAACGGATGAAGGAAACGCTGCTTACCCTGAAGAAAGAAGATGAGAAAATAGACAAAGTACAGAGATGAGTCCTGGAGAAGGTGACCTGAATTACAGCAGTTCATGGGGCGGTACCCTCGGAGGGTCGCCCTCCAAGTACATAATTAGTGCCAGGCCTGAGAAAAGAAACACTGTTACTAAGTTAATGCAGCCAAGGGGAGAGGGGGGAGCTTGGGAATTAGGTGGACAGGGCACAGAGGGTACATTTTCTTTCTTAATATATGAGGAGCAATGGTGGAAGAAGCAGACTTTCCTCACCCACAGCCAAGTCCTGGCGAAAATCAAGAGAAGCCACTGTAGAGATCAACTCAGAAGATCACTGCTGCTTTGGTAGAGTGGTAAGGCCTGAACAGTGCAGATAGCTTACAAGGAAAAGCAGGTTTTCTTTAGAAGGTGAAGAACAAAGGTGTTTTTTTCCCCGTCCCTTCTTTCCCCTCACCCCTTCCACCCCAAGTAAAAAGTTTAAACATTCAACCCCAACACACCATATCTGGCTATACTTTGTGTGGCTGAACATGACCAATTTATGCTAATCTACACAGAATAAAATTATTCCCATTATGCATTATATTATCTGTAAAAATGAAACAAAATACAGAATTAAAATAGATGGAAGATGAACAATATAGGGATTAAGAACTAAATTGTTAAGATTTACTCTAAAAAATCATATTGTACTATAAAACTACATATATAACAGTGTATTGGAAACTTTGTTCTTCATCTTTAAGGCCATGTTACATTGAAGAGCCCTGTAGCTTGAGTTAGGCTGTGCTGTCACATCAAAGTACACCTGGAAGGAAGCAGCAGATGCGGGAGGGGGAAGAAAGAAGTGTGTAGCCTGGATGACCCCTTCAGAAACTATCTCCACTAAAGAGGAAAGAAAGACAAGTTAGATGAAGATGGGGGAGTGGGAACATTATAACACATCAACTGTGAAGGGAAGACTGGGAACAGACTTTGCTGGTAAACCAGAACTCTAACAGCTGCCCTTACACTTCACCACAGTTAACGAAGACTTTCGTAATTTGCCTTAATTGTCAAAATGAGCATATCCCCACACAATTAATACACACAGACATATATATATATTTTAACAAAAGATGTCAAATCATAAATCATGCCAATATACCCCAATTCCTTTATGCAGAAGTTAAATAACATTCTGTTTAAGAATATAAATTTAAGGTCATTGAGCCTTTAAAAGACAGATTTCCAAGTTGCTAGCATAAAAATATTGAGAGTTTATGAAGACATGCAAGTGCCGGAGGAGAACTAGTTACATACATTTAATTATAGTTTAATGTAGTCATGTGGTCAAGTGTGATTGTATTTAGAGAAAAAAAAAAAAGTACAAAAACACAAAGCACACAAACTTACTGTATCTGTGCTATTCCTGAAAGCCATCAGCCTGCTATTCCTAACAAATAGCTTAAAACATCTGCATCTACAGAGCACTTTGTATCCAAAACTATACTTACATCAAAAGCTTTAAAACACACACAGCGCTACTTTCATGACTAAGTCTACAGAGGCTACTTCTATTTACTTCTTTGCTCTTCCCACCTGAACTCCTTCGTGACGCACTGCCACACAGTACCTCAATCTAAAGTAAGTAGTTGATGTGGGAACCCACCATGAAGCTAAAAAAGGAAACGATACTGAACAAGAAAAAATATTAAACCCACAGAAAACAAAATAGAAGGACAATCTACCACTGACACAGCACAGGATCAGAAATTAAAAGACAAAATTCAGTTCAAGCAATGAAGAGCATTAACAACAGGACAGGGTCTAAACAATTAAAATTACAGGAAAGCTTCTCACAGTTTTGACTAATGGCCAGATAGATCCTTCTTCATCAAAAAAGCAAAGCACTCTGAACTGTGAAAGTAGCTGGATGCTTAAGCCTATATATGTTGAAAATAAAAAAGGCCTCAATGTATTTCTTTTCAGTCAGGAAGTATGACTACAGACACATATTGTTCAGACATTCTGAGCAGACCCTAAGCCACTGCTTGCCTCAAAGTGAACAACCCAGTTCTCCCTGCAGAAAACAAGAATGTGGGATGTATATGCCTGAATACTTCAGCACTGTCTGCTGTAATTAAGCCTACTTCTTCATGAAAGATCAAAGGACACCATGGAAAAAAAGTAAGCCTCAGGGGCACAGTCCTTCTTTTGTGATCTTCTTTCACTGGAATACCTCCCACATCAATCTGTGAAGAAACTATATGCTACTTTACAGAAAAAGCAGTACCAAAGCCAAGTCTATTGCGTTTGAGAGAAAACTGGGTTCTAGCTTAAGTGATCTCAACACTACAACTTGTGATTATTCAAGAGAGACTCCTCCCCACTCAAGGAGGGGATGAATACTCCCATAGGGCTTCGCTTTGCTGATGGTTCTTTAAGGAAAACTGCAGAAAGAATCAAAACGTATGATGCAAAAAAACTAAGTGCAGGTATCTGAATTCTGAAAATTATTTGTTATTTTGCCTAGCCTCTTTCTGCCATACTTCAGCTGTCTGAAACTAGCCCTCCCACATGCACTGGCTAGTTGGTCATGATCTCTCTTCATACATGAGCTGAATCTGTGCTCTGCAACTTCCATATCCTTCACTGTGGTTCTCTGAAGCAAAACACAATAGTACTGTGGCCAACAGCCTCCACTCCTCATTACTCTGCTTTGCACAGTCGTAATCCACAGAGAGACCTTACGTATCCAAGCCTGTTCAAGCATCCTTCCAACTGCATATTAATATTGCAACACGGCCAGGCTAACAGATGATCACAGATAAGATCTGTGTTAATTTTTTTTGTATACTTTTAAATAGCCAACCATATAAATAGCCATTTTCTCATTAGATTGTTTTGCTGTTAGTTAATTTTCTGTATTGTGGATTCTGCTCTAAATGTCAGATGTTGCGCTGCACTGTACTACTATGCATATTCAGAATGATATTTTAGGGAAAAATGAGCACTTCCTTCCAATTAATGGCTGGTAACCAGTCTACTCTTGCTTCCTAGACCTATGTTACGATGAAGTTGCTGCAAAGAAGTAGTCTTCCTAAATGCTGCAGCTATCTAGTTAACATATTGCCTTAACTGCAAACAAGTTTAGTAACTCATGTTGCCAGTTTCCATGTGATTTAAGAATACATACATAAAACTTCTGTGTTTCAAATACCAGATTGTCAGATTTTGAAGTCTAGATCTTTATTTATAACAATTACTGAAGAAAACAGATAACAGAGAAACCCTGGGGAGCAGGAAATGGATCTCATGCATAATGTAGAGAGGCAGCAAGAACACTGCTGGCATCACAGCAAGTACTGTATCACCCTGCAGCTGGTAAACCAGAATGACCTAGGGCTACATGAACTCAGACCCCTCAAATCTCCAACATGAAAAAACATGTAGGTTTTCCCTTTATTTTATTAGTAAGTGAACAAGAGAGATGGTTACATTCAAGGTGTATTACAACTCAAAGCACAACATGAATATAATACATCACACCTTTCATTCTTAAGCTGTCAGCATTTTACTCCCTGACTATACTTCTGTGTATCAAACACCAATTCTATCAGATGTAGCTGTGATGTAAAGACTAGTTTTTTCCCTTTGTGGTCAGGGACCTGACTCAGTACATTCTCAGCCACCTCATACATTCCCAGGCTTTACAGTGGCTCTAAACCTACCATGTCATCTCACACCTTCTCATCGGTTAACTGAAGAGATCAACTTAGATTGGAAAAGAAGAAAGTGGGGAAGAAAAAGTATTTTTAAATGTGAATGCAATGGGAAATGATAAACCGTACTTTGTGCAAGATAATATTTGTCTATTTTAAAAAGCAAAAATGTATGTGGGTGAGTGGGAGAAAGGAAAAACATCAAAAAGCAGTCATTTTTTTCTAAATGAAAATATTCATAAATTTTATGAAATTAAAAAAAAAAAATCATTAAATTCAGATTTTTTTTTCCAGTGGTACTCTTAGTTCTTAGGAGCACAAATTGCACTGGAGAAGAAAAAAGCAAAACAGAACAAACCCAAAACACATACCTACTAGACTTTAAAAAATCTCTTAGTATGTGGTACGTTATTGCAAAATACATTGGTAGAAAGATTACTCAAGAAAAAAGAAACGCTTCTATCTTGCTGTTTTAAAAAGTGAGTATAAAAGAATGAACACATTTAACCAGCTGATATAATGGAAAAAATTTAAATACTTACTGCGTAGGAACCTATGAGGAATGCAGCGTTTGCTTGTTTTTTCTGATCAAAGCCAGTATAATGAACTATTTTCTTCCTTATCAATGAAAATGACTGTATCAAGAAATGAACAAGATTATAATTTTGCAGCATAAACTTTTAATGACTCCTTTTCTAAAATTAGAGGAATGTTCACCCTTTCAATGTTCACCCTTTCAGCCATTTGTATTCAGAGGACCAAGTAGACAAATCCCTTAAGAGCTTTAGTGGAAGCTTCAGAGTCTACTGTATCCCCACCTAGATTGTTTCAGTACTTTTCCCCAGTAAACTGCCTAAACAAATTTTTGACACAAATTACACTGTTTTTTCTTTTCCTTCTTGAATGCATTTAATATCTGTGACTTCAAGCCCTATGCAATAGACATGCAGTTATGAGAAATAAACACATTACATGGCAGTAAATACATGACATTCTCAAAAACATCACAGACAAATTAATGTCTCAACAGCTTTAAAAACGTAATTTATACTTTTTTAAAGAAATTCAGACTCATAAATCATAACATAAATCAGTTTTCTTCTAATAGTTGTTTCTAAAGTAATACTATATGAGATACACTAGAAAATGCTTAAATAAAAACATTTTGAAAGCTTTTTTAAACTTAATCAGAAATAACTTTTAAAAATTTTATCTCAGTCTTTAGCACGTAGTTTCTTCAATTACCTTAGACAGGAAGTGGAATAGCATTACCAATAGAAAGGACATCTGTAATAGCAAAACCTGTCCCTAAACTTGCCCTTGAAACAAATTTTGGTGTGCTTGAAACTTGATTGATGGCTAAAGTGTCATAAAGTACTGCTATTTAAATAGCGGTATTACTTGCTCAAATACTACACACTTAAAATAAATAAATTCCAAATAACTAACAGTAGTATGTCCTCAGCAATCTTAACAATCTGTCCAATAATAAACCCATCATATTCAAAGTGATTACAATATATAGACTTTTATTGCTTCAGAGCACCCTGCAAACAGAAATCAAAGAATCTTGTCTCAGGTAAACGTGTTCTTAGTGCCACTGGGACCAAGTGAGACTGAATTATGCAAACCAATAGCAGTGACAGACACCAAGGGATGCCCCCTGCCAAAAAAAAAAAAAAAAAAAAAACCACAAAACAAACAAAAAACAGCTGTGTTAAACTATAATGTTCTGCATGCTTACCAATTTTCACAGTTCAGTGTCTCTTTCAAGATCTAAGCAGTTTTGAAGAGGCAAACTGTGATTCACATTAATGCTAATAAGCTTTTTATCTGCCTAACAGGTTTTATAGTCCAATTTCTGTTAGAGGTCAACTAACTTGAAGTCATTAATTTTAATTAATATAGGAACTCTGTTTTAAAGACATTATGCTCAATGGAGAGTCAATTCTGAAGATTACTGAGCATCCCTAAGAGAAGATAACCTATAGTGGGAACATGACAGTCTCCTTTAGGACCATGTGATAAATGCTATTAAAGATTAAATGTTTCTTCTTACAAAAAGAGATGTCAGTACCAGAAGAGAAACTAGAGTCAAAAAAAGCTGCCACCTCAAATCAAAATGTGTTGTGTTCAGGCTGTCAATATTGTCAGATTGCTGAGAAGACTGAATTCCAGGAGGGGAGCTTTTCATTCAGAGAAGTCTGTATCCATTCAGCAACTGATCTTTTAGGAGCTTCATATTAGTTACTGTCACTTGCAACTTCTGGATCTTAAAGGCAAGCAGTTTTTCACTCCTAATCCTCCTGCTCCCCAAATATACTTGGATGAAATTTATCATGCATTTTCAAAACTTAGCTTGCTTACAAGTCCAGGAAAATATCTCAGAAAAAAAAAAAACTGGGCCATTTGTTTTTGTTCTTTAAAAATAGAAGAATATTAAATACAAAAACAAGTGTTACCTTTAATTTCTTATTTAGTTTGCAGCAGTATCTGTAGACCATTGCCAGATTGAGTGGTCCAAAATCTGCATGAAAGCTATTTGGAGAAAGAAAGAAAAATTGTACATTAAAAAAACAAAATCATTTATACAGTTTAAGCCAAATGAAAAAAGTGAGGAGTAGTAATATACAAGTGCATCACGCTTCATTTCAGGTAGCTGTAGAGAGCAATAAGGTCTCCCCTGAGTCTCCTCTTCTCCAGACTAAACAACCCCAGTTCCCTCAACCGCTCCTCACAGGACTTGTGTTCCAGGCCCCTCACCAGCTTCATTGCCCTTCTCTGGACATGCTCCAGGGCCTCGATGTCCTTGTAGTGAGGGGCCCAAAGCTGAACACAGTACTCGAGGTGCAGCCTCACCAGAGCTGAGTACAGGGGAATGATCACCTCCCTGGTCCTTCCTGATATGAGCCAGGATGCCATTAACCTTCTTGGCCACCTGGGCACGCTGCCAGCCCATGTTCAGGTGAGCATCGACCCACACCCCCAGATGCTTTTCCTCTGCACAGCTTTCCAGACACTCTGCCCCAAGCCTGTAGCACTGCATGGGGTTGTGGCCAAATACAGGACCCAGCACTTAGCCATGCTGAACCTCATCCCACTGGCCTGCCCATCAACCCATCCTGTTCAGGTCCCTCTGCAGGGCCTTCCCACCCTCCAGCAGATCAACACTTCCCCCTAAGGCTGCACTCAAATCCCTCATCCAAATCACCACGAATGGAACCCCGAGGAATACCACTTGTGACCAGTTTCCAGATGGATTTAACAACATTCACCACCACTCTCTGGGCCCAGCCATCTAGCCAGCTTTTAACCTAGCAGAGAGTGTACCTGTCCAACCCATGGGCTGTCAGCTTCTCCAGGAGGATACTGTGGGAGACCACGTCAAAGGCTTTGCTGAAGTCTAGGCAGACTACGTCAACAGCCTGTCCCCTGTCCCCAAGGTGGGTCACCCGCTCATAGAAGGAGATGAGGTTGGTCAGGCAGGACCTGACTTTCATGAACCCATGCTGGGTTAATGACCCCCTGGTTGTCTTGCACATGCTGTCTGATTACACTCAAGAATATCTGTTCCATCACCTTTCCTGGCACTGAGGTCAGGCTGATAGGCCTGTAGTCCCCTGGGTCCTCCTTATGACCCTTCTTAGAGATGGGCGTCACATTAGCAAGTCTCCAGTAATCTTTTAACTGGAACAAAAACCTTTTCCTATTTTCCACACACCACCACACAAGGAAACTGGAATACTCAAGACTTGAATAATTCTCAATATTATACCACTCTGTGATAACAATTTAGAAACTGTTTTAAGAGCAACCCAAATGGTCATCTTTAAAATAAGGCAACTAATAGTAACTCACAAATATTTTGAAAACATGTTTGACTATATACACATACTGTTCTTTGTACACTCTACAGTAAAATACGTCAATTAAATAAAGATACAGCATGTGTTACTGCTAGAGAAAAGTGAGCACTGGGAATAAATATTCATTAGTAATTGCAAAAACAGTAAGCATGTCCTTGGTCAAAAATATTTCAAAAATTAGTAGCATTCCAAATCACACACAAAGGCATATCCTGTTCACTGCAGGGGAAATAATATATCCATTCTTGGCTCATAACGGCTTGAATTAATTTTGCCAGCTTTTTCTCTTATTCTAAGAAGTTTAAACACCCCACTTCATACTTCAGCAACTAAAGACATCCCTTTCAGCTCAACAGTCCAAGTGCATTTCTGAATATATTGGAACATGTTGCAACAACTTGTCTTCTAACAAGAATGAGTATAATGAAAGCTTCTGCTCTGAAAGGATTTTTAAGAAATCCTGATGGGAAGCCAAGAAACCATTCTAAGACATATAAATCATTATGGCAGATAAGTCTGAGAGGACAGACGCATATAATTAGCTCTATAATGGAAATAGTATGTTTCCCTCAGCTACATTTAAAAACAGAATGTCAATTAGGCTGGTTTCTCATTACTGCTGTTCTAATTTATTCCAATGATCTGTAAAAAAACAAAAAAATAAGTCTGTACTTACTTCTCATACACAAGTTCATCGTCAATGCAGAAATAATGGGTATTTGCAGCTCCACTCTTTGGTTTTTGGCAGAGAATTGCAAAATAAAGGCGATCTGAAATGCAAGAAAACGTAGGGCTTTTATAAACAACCCACTTCTCCACAGCATGTCTGAAGTATTACCTGTCAGCAGAACAACTTTAAAAGGCTCGAGAGTGCTCCTCAGGTGCCAGCTAACAAGCCACACCGCGGCTGAGGGCCTGCGCTTGGCAGTGCTCCCTCAGCCCACACCTGAGGGACCCTGCCCTGCTGCTCCTGGTGTAGGGGCAGGCCACACGGCTGCTCTCCTGAGCACCACAGCCCCCATCTGGACACAGCACCTACGTGAAGCCCAGCCACGAAATGCCCCCACACCTCTGTCCTGGCCTGGTGCCACCATCACAGCCCGGCGGCCTCCACAGGGGTGCCTGCCCTGCCCCATGTTCCCCTCAGCAGGGGGTGGGGGGATAACAAGCACCATTGATATTCACATAGATACACTTTCCTTATTTTATTTTATTTATTTTTATTTTTTATGGCCTGGGGAGCTGTAGGCCCATTGAACTTTAAACACTGACTGTGCTGCCGCTGTAAATTGCTGTGCTTCTGGTAATTGGTCAATAAAAATTGATGCCTTGCAGCAGCATAGCAATTCTTTTTTTTTTTTATTTTTTTCCTTCCTGCTGAAAAAGCGTCATTATTGTAAAATACACAGAGTAAAATTCAAGCTTAAAAGGAACGATTATTTTTTTTCTTTTTGCAAACTAGTTGTCCAGAGTGGATGTATTTACTTTAATATCCAAATATCACCTGTATTTAAATACCAAAGTGTAACTTTTCTAAATGAACAACCTCTTCCTAAGAGCAGAGAAAAAAAAAAACACTTTGTTTCAAACAAAAGTCCCCCATTACTAGCACTTAGAAATCATTACCTGAATCTTGAAAAGATAAATGTGGAAATATCTTTTTAAATGCTGTAAAGTACACCACGAAAGGAGTCTGCATGCCTGTATCTTGACACTCACAACAATATTTGGGGAGGGGGTGCAGACACCCCCACCAGACAGAATACCTCTGCTAAAGGCAGATTTCCATACAACGCCAGCTTGAAATTTGGCTTACACATTTACAGGTCAGGCGCAACCACTGGGAAAAGCACTTGCTCCTGAGGTAGTTAGGTACCTACTTCCTCTGGTGTCAGCTACAGCAAAAAAAAAAAACAGGGATTTAATTTCTGATAGTCCCATCTTGCTGGCACATCAGCTGCAATACTAACTGGGAAGTGCAGCACTGCTTAAGAACTTCTGTAACTTGCAGCATTTACCAAAGCACCTCCGAAAAACTTGCCAAAGGAGAAAATCTCCAGAGTAATGCTGTGGGTTAAGAAGTGAATAAACTGGCCCCAAAGGAAAGTAAGTCTGGAGAAGCAAGCGTGCCAACACCCCACATGGATCCAACACCTTCACAGGCAGGCAGTCCTGGAAAAGGGCTCAAGCTGACTCCTTGTGGGCAGAAGGAGCACAGGGATCCCACAACTCCCCTGGCACCTGTCCCCACCACTGAATTCCTCCCTGTGCTGTGTCAAAATGTGTTTGCATGAATCCAAGACTGCAGCGGGTATGCTAGCTCACCTACAGAAAAAAAAAAAAAAAAAAAAAAAAAAAAAGCTGCTTTGCTGGTTTACTTCCCTCTGCCCTGAAAATGAGCTCTAACATGTGAATGGGGGGAAGATCTGAGGGCTCATGAGGAAGCAGAAAGGAGAACTGAGAGGATATGATATCTAGGGATTGTGTTTAAACCGGCACTGCTAGATGAAACACATGTCAGACTACAGCCCTGAGCTACAATTTCACACTACTTCTAAACTGATTTAATGGCTAGCTGCCATCAGGTTTCTTACAAGTTTTCTTTTGGGTTAGATCGCTGAACCAGCCAGCCCACTGTGGGTTAGCAGTGGCCACACACTGCCAGGATTTTTCCCTCAACGGCATCTGTCCTTTAGATCCAGTCTAATTTTTGACTAAGATTGAGCTCTCGGTGCACACAAACAGCATTGACATTGAGGTCTGGGCAGAATGGCTGCAACACTTGGACTGGCATGCTACCCTCTTGCATGCCAACTTCTTCACATAAGCTTTACATCACTTTTGAAAATATAAAAGCAATACAGAAAGAGTAATCCCAAATCCTCAAAAGAAAGAACAAAAAAATATAAAGAAAGAAATACATTTGAATAGGTCAAAAGCCTAAAACAACCCAGCATTTTTCTCTAAAACAAGATTTGGAATACATGAATCACTTGTTTCCTCAGTGGTCCTACTTTTACTGAAATTTTTCAGCAGCTTTTGTGAAAATGTCCAGCAAAAATAAGAATTCATCTCTTCAGTGAATAATGTGCATGTGGCCTTTTGAATTGCTGTTAGTATTCAGCTCTGCACTGGTATGTTTGGATCGTGTTAATTGTAGTTATTCTTAAAACACCTGAAAGAATTTAGCAAGAAACTCAAGTTTAATGACTGTACAGAACTGCCTCACAATAAGAGCAGCGTGTGTCAAATTCCAATATCCTGACAAGCTGTCCCTTCCAGTGCACTACTAACAATCGCTCCCTATTATGTAAACAGCAGGCTCCATCTTTTAAAAGTGTTTCCTACAAGGAGATTTTAGAAATAAGCTGCACAGCTTTCTCCCATGCGTGTATTTACCTTTCTACTGGCTAACCAGCCTGATACAATACAAATGGTAAATTACTCACCATGTCTATTTTCACCTGGTGTGTTGTTTTTTTGTGCTTTTTTTTTTTTTGTGGCAAACACATTCCCAGTTCTGTTTACAGTAACCAAGGATTAATGTGTTAATTTTTGAACATGAGTAACACAGAGAGACAAGAATTTCTTCATTAAGGATCCAATTGCAGGACCAGGGTTTATACATAAAATACACTGGAGCAGCAGTAAACTTATTTCAATAGGACTCCACAAAGGTTTGGGCTGCAGTAGAAAGGCTTCCATTTTAATATTTTTATGCTTCGTTTGTTAATTTTAACTTTTCAGTATCTCATTTACATGTAATGTATTCGAGTACATCCAGATTCTTGCAAATTTCTGATAAAAGGTCATCATAAAATTATCATAAACTAGAGCAGATCTTTCTAATCGTCTTTCAGAAGAATAAGAAAGCAGGGCTTACTGCCTTCCAGGCTGCATCTGCACTGCAATTAGGAGATATGACTGCAGTACATTAGATGTACTTCAATTACATTTAATTTTGTTTGCCTCAAATAACAAAACAGTTAAAACACAGAAACATGGACTTCACTGTCGGCAATTAATTTGAGTAAGCATCCAGTGTACAACAAAATGAGCCTGTAGACCCCTAACTGAGGGCTGTGTTTCCACAGCTCTGCTACTGCTAGTACAAAAACTACTGAGATTAAAGCTAGCACAAGCATGTCTACACAAGCTATAATAATCACACATCTGATTTCAGTGTGCACAGAAAGAAATGCATTTTGCTTGTTTTTCAGATCTACAGTGTTCTGTGGAAGCATGCCTACAGAAAACTGAGAGCTGCCACTTCATAATCATATTCACGTGAATACAGAGATGACAAAGTAATCTCCTTGCCTTTACTCTCAATAAGCCTGATGCTTCTTCGGATCTGCTGTAAAGGCCTTAGAGAAAGAAATTTCAGTAATTTCACGAGGCAACTAAACACCAGACAGGCACTCACTACAGGACAAGTCATAGAAACAGCAAAGGTTATTTAAAAAAAAAAAAAAAAAAAAGAGAAACTCTGCATTGCTATTGTTAAATAGATGAGAAATTCAGAGGAGGCTGACAGTACAGCAAAATACCACGTTAGCCTGTTTTGAATTACCAGCAATGCAACTAGAGAGTTACTTGCTATTGTAACAGAAGTGCATTTCTAAATCCAGGGTTAGTGCCTAGTATATTGCTATGTTGGATTTAAAGACCTAAGAATAACAGGAAGACACAAGAGAAAACAAAAGACAAATTCTGTTGCAATATTGAGATGATGAGCAAAATTGTAGCAGCTTTTCTTTTTAGTCATCCTATCCTTGGAAAGATTCATTCACTCGTCTTTACAAAGTACTTCAAATTTAAGTGGTGATGCTGCTGGCAATAACAATAGCCTTGCCTTCTGAAAAAGAAAATGAAGACACGGTAAAGGAACTTTTTATTTAACCTCAAACCATGAAAAAATATTTTCAGGGCCACATCATGACTGATCAACAACACTGTGTTACTTCTACGATTTCCTTAAATACACAGTCCCTGTGCTCTGCTGCTCAGCTGATTTACAAGACTACGTTAGATATGTTCACGCACTTTCAGTACTGGATTAGATACTGAAAGCCTTAGACCTGCATTTAAAATCTTAATTTTGAGACAGGCTCACCAGTAGGTGAGGTTATATTGATAAAAGATTAAATACAACTGTTGTAGTGAGAGACTTGTATAATGAAAACTAATTAAAAGTATTGTGAAAATTCCCCCTAAATTGTTTTCAGCGTGCCAAAAAAATCGTTTTCTTCAAAATACACAAGATTTATAGTGTCAAACCAGCAACAGAGGAAAGGCAAAGCAAAACCCTTGGACTCCATGGTTTCAAAGACAGAAACAGAAAGAAAAAAAACTCAACCCACCTATCTATTAAACCATATTAAACCATATTAAACCTAAATCATATTAAACCAAACACTGTTTCACAAAACTCCTCATGACACCGTAAGATGACTCTCAATTAATGAAAAAGAAAAGGCATACATGGTACAGCTTAGGGCATTCTTTCCCAGAGTTAGTTCCTCACTGTAACCAACTGTATACCCAGTTACCAAGCGGACAAACAAACATCAAGAAATGTCCCACGATGTAGTATCACTAAAAATTATTCATAGCTACTTTATTTTGGAATTAACTACCAGAGTGAGGTGAGAGAGAAACACACACCTTCTGCCCAAAGTTTATGCCTTTTAATTACACATCTCTAAGATGCTAGTTATAAAAATCAGAGAAGAAAATACTGGCTTTTGAGCTTCTCAAGCAGAACTGTTACGTTTTCTTTAGGTCATATAAATTATGTGTTTCAGAGATCAGAAGGATATGGGAATATGCTTCCAATAAACAGAAGTGCATTCAGTACCAGCAAATTGAATTCATACCGGCCAGCCTCATGCATCAGTTGACAAAGACAAAATGGTAAAATTTACCATGTAGCTTAACAGACCAAAATAAACAGTATTTTAGAAGTACAGCTCTTCTGAACTACTCTTAGCAGCAAACAGGAATATTTAGATGACCCTGACATACGGTTGATAGGTATGACTCGTTAGGAAATACAGAAACACAGTAATTATTTTATTATTTTGCATTAAAAAATCCACGCATATGATGGATTACAAACTCCGTTATATATCAGAGCAAATGGAGTATCAGGCAAGGAAAGATCCATAAATCTTTACGGCTGTTTGGGTTGTTTTGTGCTCTTGTCTTCAGCAAAGATGAAAATGAGAGCAGCCTGCAACGTCCTTAATGAGTTAGGAAGTGTTTTTGTAAGCAGATGAGCTAATGCAGGGATTTTAGCCCTTTCAGGTGCTGAAATATTTACCAGCATGTCCAACTGCAAAAGTAGGGCCCTAAGCTTTAATCTTCCTCCAGTCCAGAACTATTAATTCATTTCTCAGAACTTCATTACGAGAAGGCAGAACTGACAGCTCAAAACCTGAAGCAACTTTTAAAGCAGCTGAATGAAAAGGCAAGCCTGAGGGCTCATTCTTCTCGGGTTTCTCTATTTAAAAAAAAAAATAAGCATGTCATACCAGTGCAATGAAGATTAGGCTGTAATTGTTCCATTATTAGAAGCTTGTAAACAGCAGCCAACGCGAGCAGTGAGATCAAGGCAAAATGAAATATTATTAAATGTAAGAACCTACTGCATTTAATTGAGTTTCCTAAACTGTGCACTGCCGTGTGGGTCGAAATCCCACTGAAAGACACAAGTCAAATCCCAGGTGCCGGGCTGTTTTATTCGAACAAGCGAGCATTTTTTTTGGAAGAGCAAAAACACAGCCGTTTGATGGGCCTGTTGGGTGCCAGGAGTGTATCAAGAGACCCAAGCAACTGCAGCCGGAGGGCGGCTGGAGAGACCTGTTTGCTACAGCCCCGGGCTGCACAGTGCTCCAGGGAGCGGCATCCCTGCCGCCGGGCGGGCATCACCTGCCAAATCGCAGGTTTCTGCGCTTCACCCCGGAGCCGCAGCGCTGCAATTTGCGATGTGAGTGCTCACAGCCGAGATGCTACAGGGCACGCAGGGCTGGGAGCCGTGTGTCACCGCAGACCGCGGCGCGGATCGGACACGGAGCGTTTTGTATCTGCTGCGCTGGGGCAATTTTGTGCCACCGGAGTAAGGCAGCCGCGTAACGAGGGGCGATTCGGCGCCTCTGGGGCAGGCACACCCCGCATCCTTCCCACACGCTCCGCTCCCCTTCAGGGGCCGGGCCGGGACCGCCGCCTTTTGTCCCCGCTCGTTTCCCCGCTGGCCCCGCGCTCCCCCCACGAGCACCCACCGCCGCCGCTCCATTATTTTATTTTATTTTTGGGTTCTTTCCCCCCCAAATCCCGTGCTTTGCAGCGCGCTGCCCTCCAGCACCGCCGCGGCTCCCCAGCAGCTGCCAACAAAGTTCCCGGGGCAACTTTCGGCCCGGACCCCCCCGGCACGCCCCTCACCGGCGATCCTCACGCAGGTCTCGGTCCCGGCGGGGGGTGTCGGCGGCGGCTGCTGCTGCTGCTGCCCTCTCCGCTCCGTCTCGCCCCCCGCCGCCCTGGCCGCCGCGCTCCGAGTTCTCTTCAGAGCCGGCGGCGCCGGGGGGGCGGCGGCGGCGCGGCGCCGGGCCTCGGCCCAGCTCTTCCGCTTCATGGCGGAGGCGGCCCGGCCGCGCCGCTACGGTGGGGGTGAGGCGGCGCGGATCATCCCCGCGGGGATCGCGAGGCCGCGGGGGAGGAGGGACCCCGCGGCGGCGGCGGTGGCGGCTGACGCGTGTCCCCGGACACCGCCCCCTCCCGCCGCCCCGGGCACCCACGGGCCCCCCGCCCCGCCGCGGCGGCGGCTCCCGGCCGCCCCCCCCCCGCCCCCCGCCTCTGCCGCTGATTGGGCCGGGGCCGCGTGGCGTCACCGGCGCGGAGCGGTGCGGGCTGTGACGTCATAGCGGACGCCGCAACAGGTGGGAGCGCGGGGCGCGGGACGGGACCGGGACCGGGCAGCCTCGCCTCAGCCCTGCCACGAGCGGGGCCAGCGGTGGTCACCTCCCGCCTTCCGCTGCCGAACTTTGTAAAAGCACTTTTTTTGGTAAAAACACTTTTTTTAAAAAAAAAAAAAAAAAACACGCTTTTTTTTTTTTCCTTTTTTTTTTTTTTTTTTTTTTTAAAAAAAAAAGCTTTTTGCTAAAACCACTTTTTTTTTTTTTTTTTTGGTAAAAGCACTTTTTGTACATACACTTTTTCATACTTTTTTTTTAAAAACTTTTTTTTCCGCTTTTTTGTAACCCCATTTTTTTTTCACTTAAAACACTAAAAAAAACACCTTTTAAATACATTTTTTTCAGTCACGCAGCAGACCTGGCATCGTGCTGCCGCCTTCCCCTGCCAGCACCCATGCTCAATGTTCACCAGCATCCCACCAGTGTTAGGGGCTCGCACCGTGGTCCGGCTGCACACAGCAATCCCACGGCTGGTGCCTTAATTACGTCTTTTTTTCTAACGAGTCCTCCTCTGTCGTTATCCCTCTTTTTGCTGCTCTTCGTGTTGGGAGCCTTGGGGAAGGATGGGTTGTGCTGGGGTAGCGCGGAGGCTGTGGGACAGCTTCTGGCAGTGCTCTCGGTCTGGGTGACTTAAGAAACAGAGCAGGTTACGCCTTCATTCACTCTGATCCCTGTTAAGAGTCCTCACTTTTTGCTTTTTTGCTGTTGTTTATATCTTTTTTTTTTTTAACTCGCCAAATGCTTACTCCAAAATCGAAAGCACGAGGAAGGTGAAAGTGAAATGACTGGAAAACAAAAGTAGAGCTGGAACCGGTGTCCTCAGCAGGGACGATCGGACAAATGAATGTGTGGAAGCACTGTGGGTAAACTGGTGTTCTTTCACTTCCAAAATCTGTTAAAATCCCTGCGTTTCTCATTTTGCACACAGGGCCTGGGGCTTCCATCTTGCTTCCTGCTGCTTTGCCTTCCTGTGCGCCTTGGCTGCTGGACAAGGACCAGCCGCTCGCTGTCTGCTGTGCCACCGTCTCAGGGAGCCTCCGGGCCACCCTGCAAGAGCCAGGGTTCAAAGTCTGCACAGGACTGCTGACAGCCCTGTTCTGAGCGCCCTTTAGTCAGAGCAGGGAGCCCAGTGCAGTGTTTTCAGATTAGTAACATCCTCTCGTTAAACACGCACTGTCCAAACGCTTATGTAATTAATAAGGGGCCAAGGGATAGTACCTTCTGGTGTAATTACATTGCTCCCTATCACTGTTTTTCTTAAGCCTTTTATTTTTCATCAAGGGGCACTGCATTTAATTTCACATGATCTTAATGGCATAGAGAGCTCTCAGAAGTTTGCTCTGGGCCTGCCTTAATGGATGTAGGCACAAAACTCTGTGTTTGACATACCACTTTAGAATCCTATTACTGTTACGGCTTAAGACTGGTGAGATTTTGCAGGTGAGATATGTATGAGTAGTGGCAGTGTACAGTGAAGGCCAAAGATCAGAAACTGCGAAGGAGGATATGCTCCTCCATAAATCTCAGAGATTTTTATTTTGAAATTGATAAAATGTGGCTCATGCCTCAAAAGAGGGCAAATTTCACTTTAATGAAAACAATAGATTCTGAGCATAGGCGTTTCTAGAAAAATAGATCATACAAAATCTGACAGAACCACAAACTTAAATGTCCTCAGCTCAGCTGTCACTGACAGAAATAACTAAGGATGTTTTTTCCAAGACCTCTTGCTCTGACAGAAAATACATACTTATACAGGAGAATGTACTGCTGCAAATATTCTTAAAAAAAATAAACAACCACGACCTACTCTAAAACTGACAACCTGAGCAGAAACAGGTTTAGCACCCCTCTCTCTCTGTTTTCACAGACCCACCTTTTTGTATAACACAAAACAACTGCAGGCAACAGATGATATATATAAAATATTTATTTAAAACTGTTAAATGTGTTTCATAAAGTCCGCCCTTGCCAGATGCAAGAATAGATATCAGCTTAGATCCCACTGCTTGCAACAGTGAGCTTTCAAAGTATATTTTAAATACAAGATTGCCACACAGTGCTGGAGGTTTGAAAACCACTGAGAAGTTCCGGGTTGAAAGCCAATGTGATTTAGCAAAAGGCAAGAATCCCAAGTTCTTCCCAAGCAAAACCAGATTTTAGGTTAGTGCATTCTGAAGGAAGACTTTTAAAATGTGTTAGCAAGATGAGAAAATAATAAGCCACAGGAATTTCTGCAATAAGTATCAGTTGCATTTTAGTTTTTGTTATCTCACACACAATGGAAATAGCACTTCAGTATCTGTCTTCAGTGCCAGGTAGTTTATTCTGTGCTCTGATAGTCTAGATGTGGTTTCGGATGTCCTATAAAGTCGCAAGAGTACGGATGCTGGTGGGAATTCACTGGAGAATTGTTCTTGTAGAGCAGAAATGAAAAATGACACATTTCCTCTGTGTCATATGTCAATAATCTGGGGTTTGTTTGTGAAATTTACTGTTTTAACTCCTGCCAGTTGCAAAACAGTGTTAATGGGAACATGATCCATTCTGTTTTTATCAAGGTGCAAAAAATGAACTTCATTACCTGGAATTGAATGAGAATAAACATGTAAATAGTTGAATACAATACTTATTTAAGGACACAAGTGAATCATAGAAGCATTCTGAATTCCCACAAGCTCTTGTACAGATGCGTACTAGCTGCAGGTTGCACAATACACTGTATTTTAAATTATGGATTTTTAAAATTAAGTTGTAGAAACATGGGGCACTGAGGCATCTAACTGAATTAAATCTGCTGTAGCATGGTGCTTCCTAATGATTTGAGGAGATTACTTTGTCATGTGTTAGCCCCACTTCATGATTTATTCCTCTATTAAAAACACATTAAATGCCTAGAATCAAATCAAAAGCAGAATGTAAGCAGAATGTGGGTGCATAACACAATGTCAAAAAAAAAAAAAAAAAACCCACATCCAAACTTCAAGCCAGTTATTCCATCAGGGCCACTATCAGCTTTTTGCCATCTCTGCAGGAGGTGGAATTGCACAATGGCACCTCCACGGGTTCCTTCAGCTAGCAGAATCTCACAGACTACACTAGACTGTCCTTTCTCCTTGGGAGTCCACAGGGGCAGCAGCCGAGCTGGCAGCACTAAAGCAAACAGCAGAAGGAAGACTGCATTTGTTTTTCAGACAAAATAAATGGGCTCACCTGGGCCTAAAATCAGAGTTCCTCCCTGCTGAGCGGGGTCTCCTTGGAAGTCAAAAGCTGGGCCAGTCATTGCTCTCCACATGCTCTTAATACTTCCCAAGAGCACACTTGATTTTACGTGAGGGCTCTGCACTAAACAAAACAGCAAAGTCCTTGTTACCTAGAAATACAAAAATAACTCGAGAGAACAACAAAATCAAACTGTTGCTGTGAATAGTTTCCTGACTAGTGAAGAAATGGGGTGTGTTTTGCCAACGCGCAGCTTACAAGAGATGGTCTGGTGAGCAACTCCCTTCCTATTTACATTGTGATCATGGTATTTTATCAGAGCATTCTTGTTCTGTGAGTCAATTCAGTGTGAGAAAAATTTTCTTACCTGATGCGTTATTACCTTCACCTCTTTTCATGCCAAGTGTTTTATAAATTTCCCTTTGTGGATCTACATACATTTCATGCGTATACCCAGTTAAACTGCAAAAGGGCTGCAAAATATGTATATACAAAAAAAAAAAAAGTAACATTTTTAAGGTTAGGATTAGTTAGGATCTACCGACAGTGGAAAAAATACTGACACACCCCCAATTTTAAAACCTGTGACTTTGCCACGTTAAATGAAACTAAAAGCCAAAAAGTTTTAGCTTTTACTAAAAGCTTTTACTAAAACAAAGCTCCCAGTGAAATCTGGAAAATATTTTTCCTTAACAAGTCTCAATGGATTTCAAAATGAAAGCTTTAGTTACTTGCTTTATTCATGTACTACCAATTGCTTCATGACCTGGTTTTCTGTGGTTGCAAATGACCGTCTTTTCACTCTGAGCAAAATCACTCAATGCAGATCATTAAGACACAATAGAATACACAATTTATTTAATGACTACTTTATTTACCTTGATGTGATGATAAGATGATTGTCCAATAACGATAAGCCTCACATTTGCTTCCTAGAACAGAACATAGGGATTGAAACTGAAAAGAGGAACTTGGTGTTTCTGCACAGCTGCAAAGCATTAACAGCCTGGTGTTCTGCGATAATGATCACAGTGCACTGAGTTAAAATTATTTGAAATTAATGTCACCGACATATTTGGAACACAGTCTTTGTCACTCACAGTTAGCAGCTACATAAGTTTACTAAGTGGTAAATTATTTTTTAAAGATAACTTAAGATACAGGTATGTAAACTTCACGTTTTCTGTAGCATTAGTAGCATCATCTTCTCAATTGATTGCAACCCGCTTATGCTTTTGGAAATGGAAAATTTCAGTGCAGTTACACCTGCATCTAAAGAAGCAGCATGCAAACACTAATGTACAAACAAGTACATCTGTGATTTTATATACCAGTGACCCTTAATATATATAACTTCAATCAACATGTAGTGCTGCCTTTAGCAGATGCAACGTTAAGCCTGAGTCTAATACAGGCCAAAACTTTTATAGATGCCAATAACACATTTAATAAAGCATCAGATATTGCTGTTGTTATTTGTTGTGTTGTTGTGTGTTTTTGTTGTTGTTGTTTTTTTAATATTGGGGTATAACGATTGCCTATCCCAAACAGAATCATTTTGTTTGTTTGTTGGGAAAAAAAGCCCTCCCCCCACCAAAAAAAAAAAAAAAAGTCTTACAAAAAAAAAAAAAGATTTGAGTTTCCAT